AACCCATTAAACCTGTCATTGTCATTATATAATTATACTGTCTAGTTGGACTGACCCTTTAACCCATTAAACATGTCATTATATACCTATATTGCCTAGTGGGACTGACCCTTTAACCCATTAAACCTGTCATTAGATCACTATACTGTCTAGTGGGACTGACCCTTTAATCCATTAAACCTGTCATTATATAACTATACTGTCTAGTGGGACTGACCCTTTAACCCATTAAACCTGTCATTGTCATTATATAATTATACTTTCTAGTTGGACTGACCCTTTAACCCATTAAACATGTCATTATATACCTATATTGCCTAGTGGGACTGACCCTTTAACCCATTAAACCTGTCATTAGATCACTATACTGTCTAGTGGGACTGACCCTTTAACCCATTAAACATGTCATTATATAACTATACTGCCTAGTGGGACTGACCCTTTAACCCATTAAACCTGTCGTTAGATCACTATACTGCCTAGTGGGACTGACCCTTTAACCCATTAAACCTGTCATTAGATCACTATACTGTCTAGTGGGACTGACCCTTTAATCCATTAAACCTGTCATTATATAACTATACTGTCTAGTGGGACTGACCCTCTAACCCATTAAACATGTCATTGTCATTATATAACTATACTGTCTAGTTGGACTGACCCTTTAACCCATTAAACATGTCATTATATACCTATATTGCCTAGTGGGACTGACCCTTTAACCCATTAAACCTGTCATTAGATCACTATACTGTCTAGTGGGACTGACCCTTTAACCCATTAAACCTGTCATTATATAACTATACTGCCTAGTGGGACTGACCCTTTAACCCATTAAACCTGTCATTAGATCACTATACTGTCTAGTGGGACTGACCCTTTAATCCATTAAACCTGTCATTATATAACTATACTGTCTAGTGGGACTGACCCTTTAACCCATTAAACCTGTCATTGTCATTATATAATTATACTGTCTAGTTGGACTGACCCTTTAACCCATTAAACATGTCATTATATACCTATATTGCCTAGTGGGACTGACCCTTTAACCCATTAAACCTGTCATTAGATCACTATACTGTCTAGTGGGACTGACCCTTTAATCCATTAAACCTGTCATTATATAACTATACTGTCTAGTGGGACTGACCCTTTAACCCATTAAACCTGTCATTGTCATTATATAATTATACTTTCTAGTTGGACTGACCCTTTAACCCATTAAACATGTCATTATATACCTATATTGCCTAGTGGGACTGACCCTTTAACCCATTAAACCTGTCATTAGATAACTATACTGTCTAGTGGGACTGACCCTTTAATCCATTAAACATGTCATTATATAACTATACTGCCTAGTGGGACTGACCCTTTAACCCATTAAACCTGTCGTTAGATCACTATACTGCCTAGTGGGACTGACCCTTTAACCCATTAAACCTGTCATTAGATCACTATACTGTCTAGTGGGACTGACCCTTTAA